TCTATGCCTAAAATTTCATTCGGAAATGTAGCGCGAATGCTATTTAAGTACCCGGCCGGGCTGTAATTAATATCATTTATTAACTGACATTGATTGCAGGACCTGACATACGCAGTTACTATTTTGTATAATTGCGGGAAATATACCGCCTCGCGTACCCTTTTTAAAGTCTTTCTGACCCCTAAATGACCCGCTGTTTTCGCGTCGTGTAATTCCTTCAAAATGCTTAATCGAAGCGAGGCTGGGATGACTGGTTTGTACTCGAGATTTTCGTTTGTTGTTTTCGTATAAAATAATAAATTATCTATTATTTCATAGTTTTCTGCTCTATTTCTTATCGCATCGATATCTGTGTGCTCAAAGCTTTCGGGGTCTTTCAAATATGCATAGATATTTCCAAATTCAGGATCAGCTTTCAGTTCAGTGATAATTCGTATCTCTAGAATCTAAAATTTTTGAAGTCAACACAGCGCATTTAAGTTCATTTCCTTCATCGTCCAGTTTTATACGAGAAAGCGCGTCAGCTACATTGTTTTCCTTACCCGGTTTATATTTTATTAGATTATATTCTTGGAGTTTTAAAGCCCATCTTATTAACCTGGGCGTTAGGTTTTTTCCCCGAGTAAAGTCTACCAACAGCCGCATGATCCGAAAAGACTGTTACTGGCGCTTTGCCGAAATAAACTCGAAATTTGTGTACAGCCATTAATACGGCTAATGTTTCTCTCTCTGTAGCTGTATAATTCCTTTGTGTCTGATTCAACGTTTTACTAAAAAATGCCAGAGGATGGCTATTTTGCGTAAGAACCGCACCCACCCCATCTGCTGCAATTTCCAGGTTTTCGTCCCCCTCCGGGAATTTCAAAACAGGGGCATTGATGAGCGCTTCTTTTAATCTTTCAAATGTCGTATTTGCTTCCGCTGTCCACGTAAATTTACTTTTCTTTCTTTTAATTACTAACAGTGGTTCAACAATATTAGCGAAATCTTTTATGAAAGCCCGATAGTAAGAACATAACCCAAGGAAAGAAGAAAGTTTCTTGGCGGTGTTGGGCGGTGGGAAATTCTTGATTGCTTTTATTTTTGAATCTTGCGTTTCTATACCCTTTTGCGAAATTTTATAACCGAGATATTTAAGTTCTTTAGTTGCGAACTTGCATTTTGAGGCGTTAATTGTAAGACCGGCCTCTTTTAATAATTTAAAAACTTCTTCTAGATCTTTAATATGTTGTTCCAACGTACTACTCGTTATAATTATATCATCTAGATAGATTAAAGTTGATTTTCCTAGGACAGGCTTTAGAACAATGTCCATAGCTCTCTGGAATGTTGATGGGGCCCCACACAACCCAAAGGGCATGCGTAAAAATGCATAAGTGCCCGATTTTGTTATAAACGCGGTTTTATGTATGTCTTCGGGTCTCATAGCTATTTGATAGTAGCCAGACGTTAAGTCCAAAGTAGTCATATATCTAGTAGATTTGATCTTTCTAATAATTTCCTCTATAACCGGCAAAGGGTAAACTGGGAATTTAGTAATACTATTTAGTTTTCTGTAATCGATAGCAAACCTCCAAGCCCTTTTATCCGAAGGAGGAAACTCGTTCTTTTTCCTACATAGTACGACTGGACTCGCGTACTCACTATTTATGGGCGTTATTATTTTATTCTTTAACATCTCCTGAATATGTTCTTCGATGATTAGGTCTTTTTTGTTCATCGTAACGATACGGTTTAGTCCTACAAGGTTTTTCGGCCGTTAACTGTATCTGATGCGTAACTATTTGACAGCTACCAGGCTTTTCTGCAAGTTTGAAAAATTACTCACCACTTGCTGGATGGCTTGACTTTCATGGTCATTCAAATGGCTAAGGTCAACTTGCGGTTGTTCCACAGGTTCCACCACCCTCTGGTCCATCTCCAGCACCACGGAACTGTCTTGAAAATTCAATTTGGCCCTCGCGGCCCTTAAAAACTCCATACCTAAAATAAGAGGATTTTGCAGATTCTTCACTACAAAAATTAATACTTTGAGGCTTTCCTCTTTTACCTGTATGTTTAATGATAATTTCCCGATGCAGTGACAGGTTTTTCCTTGCGCCGCTATAATTTCCGTATTTTTGGTTTTTAAATAATCGTAACCTATAAAAATTCTTTTTGAAGAATTTTCACTCATAAAATTACCTTCTGCTCCTGTATCGATGAGGGCTTCTACTGGTACATCGCCAACCAAGACTTGTATAATTGGTAGATGTGAGTTTTTTACGATGACCGTATTTAAATGTCTTTTTGAGGGTTTTTTTTTAAAACTTCCGGGTCTGGACCCTCGCCTTTCACAGGCCCCTCTACTCGTTTAAAGCTTTCCTTTCAACTTCTGCCTTCTGGGTACGCGGGTTTTTGTTTTCGAATTTCCTTTTTGGGCCTTGACCTTCGAGGTTCGATGAGTTAGCTTGATAGCTCTTTCCCCCATAAGAGCGATTTGCATTTCTGGTTTGCTCATTTGAAGATTGCCTTCGGGTACTTTGAGAATACGATGCCCCTCTAGCTTTTTCCGCTATTCTGCGATTTTGAAACTTCAGCGCCAATTCGAAGAGCTCCTGCAATGTGCTTGGGTTTCTAATTTCGAAGTAGTCTTGAACAGGAAAGAATCTTGGTAAGATTATTTCAATAATCTCCGCGTCGGGTTTCTTCCCATACAGCATATCCGTCAGCTTAATTTTTCGCAGAATAAAGTCCATCAACTCTTCTATATTCCTTTGATAAAAACTATACAGTTCGGCTTCTAGCCTTGCTCGATCTTTCACTATGGGGAAGGCCTTTAATAACGATTTTTTGAAATTTTCAAATGTATATGTCTGGCCTCCGAATTCCCCTAATAAAAATTTGCCTATATTCTTCCACCATAGCGCGGTCTGTCCTCTTAGTGCAGATGTGGCGATGGCAACTTTTTGTCTTTCAGGCACAGGGTAGAGCTGGAAGTGATTGTCTAGGCTTTCTAGAAATATCGCCACCGAATTTTTTCCGTCAAAATTGACTTTTGGCTTAATTGATGCTCTCATCGTCTGGACCATTATCCAAATCCTTCTAATTGGCTTGCCATTTCTTGTTGTTGTCCAGCAACTTCCATCCAATTTTCGGCCATTTCAGTTCGACAATTGTTCGGGCGCCAATGTAATGTTGCGCGCTTCCAACCTGCACGCAACAATAGGGGTGACTGCTAAGAACTGGAAAGTAGACCAAAGTCTTGAAAAGGGTTTTAATCCCTTTTTATTCAACTTTAGAAATTACAAATGCGTGCTCTTGACGCTAAAAAACTACGCCGACCCGGCGGTAAAAAAAAAAAAAAAAAAAAAAAAATTAAGAAAAGAATAGTAACAAGTGACTAACTACAAGGCTCTCTAAACGTAACTAACCTCATCGTGTTCTAAAATACCGCTGACAATTCAGCAAACTTTGAATATCACGTTGAACGATTAACAATTCTCCGAGGCAAGCACACAGGCCGAAACGCGGGGTTCTTCAATTTCTGGCTAACTACCTCCGCGCTCGTGAAGTAAGAACAGCACACCTCGAACTCGTTTCCTTTCTATTTAACTCAGAATACTTCCGCTGATAATTTGAATCCTTGCGCGTTCTACTAAAATTTACATACTCTGGCATTGGCAGTTCCAGGGAAAAGTAAGGCTTCACAGGAAAGATAGTTTAAACTTAAAATAAATGTTAGTTAAATTAAATATAAACCCTACAATCTAATCAAACCCGGAGAACGGGTTGATTACATGTGGAGTTTTCCCACCAGGAAAACTTAATGCGAGTAATTTTCTCTTAAAAAGTTTTACACGAAAGCATCCATCCCCTTAAGCAGATAGCGTTCGCGTACTTTTCCGTAATCCAATCCTAATTCTCATACATTTAATATTAAGTTGACATACGCCTTATTACAGACAAAATAACATTCCTTTTTTTAAAGATAAATTTTTTATTAACTTGTCTGAATTCCCTTTATGTCTTGAGGAGTATAAAATAATAATAATAAATCAGCAAATAAAACTGGCCAAAATTTTATGCAAAGTAACTGATGTTTTGATTCAATTTAGTAGAAGTTACGAGAGCTTTAATGATATTTAAATACTTTTTGCAGATGCCATCCTAAAGAGGGTCTAAAGATAAATTGGTTTTTTTTAATTTACAATGAATGAAAATCATTCAAAGTATTCATTAATTGAAAGAAAATCACAAAAACTATCATGCATGCAGTTGTCTCTTATTTATCTCCTGATAAATCAGACAAAATTGCCTACATAATAGCACTTTGAATGCGTTAACAGTTCTTAAGGGTTTTATGCACTCCCCCCAAAAAAGTGTCAAAATAACATCTTATTATTCATACGTATAAAAAGGAAATAAACGATAAAAGCGGTTTTACGTATTTTCTAGAAGGGCATTAAATCTAAAATATTAATCTAATCTTATTTGCTATGATTAAAAAGCATTAAATCTGGTAAGTTTAAATAGCATGCAAAATTGCTGACATTTTAATCATAGCAAAAGTTAGCACTAAAATTATTAGACAGTGCTCTAAAGTTTGAGAAAGAGATGGCTTCTATTTGATTTTCAAGCATATTGGTGTGAGATGAAACCTACGGTTTTTGCCAAAATCTAGCCAAACTGATAAGAAGAGGGAAACAATGCGCAGCCAGCAGCTATTCGGAGCAACGACAATGGACCACCCAGAGATCTACAGATAGGCGATTCTCTAAAATAGGGAGGGGATGTCTGGTATAACAGTTGTATCACAGCCAGCATTAAAGAAAGTCATTTTCCTGGCACAACTGATGTACTGTAGGTTTTAGGAGGTTAATAGTTTACTTACTTGACTGCAAATAATGTAGTAGAGAAATTTACTATGAAAAGCATATTTCACCAGTCTAACTGGTTAAAACTCCCGTGAAAGAGATAAAAAATGAATTACTCTCAGATATATATTAAAAAGTAAATACCAATTCCATTTGCAGCCCAAATGTTGCGTGGGTCAATACGCAGCACTTGTTTATACATTGATAATGCTCTATCTTGATGACGTTTTTCTTTGTCTTTATCTCGACTTGGCTGATGTAAAGTTTGGAGCCAGACATTGCCAAGAGCCACTAGGGAATATGTGTCAGTTGGTGAGGTTTTTAAAATACGTTCAAACTTTTTCTGACCAGGTCCCCATTCCTGTTTAGCAAGATGCAAGTTTCCAATCAAAGACCATGCATCAGGATGATCCTATAAAAATGAGAAATGAAATTAATAACACTTATTATTCAAATTATGGATTAAAATACAGAAATCTACTAATTTGAGAAATATTCTGTAATTTAAAACATTTTAAACCTAGAACCCAAGTCAAAAACATAAAACTTAATATGTTACAGTTCAAAATGCACAATACATAAAACATGCAACTTTTTCTTATTTTAAGTTTGGTTATCTCTTAAATGAAACTTTTCAACAAATTTAACATAATTACAAGGGGTGATCAAATGAAAAGGTACGAAATGACACGGTGAGTACAAATGTAGACTTTATTCAAAATATACACCATAGGCCTGAGCACAGTGATCACACTGATGAACAAGTCGCAGGATTCCTTGTTCCCAGAATTCCTGTGGCCGTGACGAGAGCTAGTCCTTCACAGTGTCCTTGAGTACATCATCCGAGTTGAAGCGCTTCCATTTCAAGTGTTTCTTCAGTGGACCAAACACATGGAAATCGCAAGGCGACATGTCCAGACTGTAGGCGGATGGTCCAACGTCTCCCACTTGAACTTAGCCAGTTCCCACACTCTCACGGCCTGTACGAAAACGGGCACTCTATTTTCTGACAGACTTGTCAGAGACAAATTTCTCCCCGTAAACTGTCACCAACCGGTGATGAATAGCTGCCGGTTTCTCCCCTTCTGCTGTCAGAAATCGGATAACACCTCGCTGCTCCTCAGGCATCGAATTTTGCAACGCGAACGGCATCCTGTCCTCATACGGACTGCCCGCATCATTTGGATGCCACTTTTGATAAGAGCATCTGCTTTCTCCTGCGCATGTGGGCGCCCACGCATGCTCCGATCCCAGTCAGAGACTCCAATCGCATCCCGAGAGGTCTCGCTACGTGCTCCCATGGCGGAATATGCAAATATTTAACTGTTACATTTTTACGTCGTTTTGTACCCTTTCATTTGATCACCCCTTGTACTACAGTTATAAAATGGAAAGAAATATTAAATAGTGTCACAAATACACAGATAAAAGAATATTCATATGCATTTGAAATTTAATAAAAAACATAATGGAGAAAATTAAATGAAACAAAATGAAAGCATACCTGATTAACTTGCAATGCTTCTTTAAACCAGTCAGAGGCTTCATAAATCTGTCCTCTATCTCGAGCCATGCAACCCAACCTTAAATAACCTTAAAATAATTTATATTATGAAATATTTTAAAATCTATGTCATATTTTCTCACACAAAGCTTACAAAAAAGGAATTTTGATCAAGATGATATGAAAATTACCATATCAATTTACATTTATCTCTAATAAAAATTATGCATAACATTTAAGAGAAAAATATGTTGAATTAAAAAAACATATATATATATAATGGAACTAAAGGATTGTAATTCATGTTAATGAATAGATATTCTACACTTAGGAATCTATTTACATATTTCAAATAATAATAAAAGATTTATACACTTGCTAATGCATTTCAAAACCTCAGAATGGATGGGAATGGAATATGTTAGATCAGTGGTTCTCAACCTTTTGACCATAACATCTAAAGAAAACTGAAAAACTTTTGTATCACCACTATATTTTACAATGATTATTTTTCAATTTCTCAATAGAAATATTAAAAAAATATATTTTGCCATTTGCACAATCTATTAGCTATTTGTATTAAATATGCACACATAAAAATATTAGACTAAAAATTGATTACCATTTTAATTATCAAATTTTAAGTTATATTTTTTAGTATGAAATTTGGGCCTATTTAAAAGAAATCAATTTTTTTATATCTGGTCTTATTTCAGTTAGTTTTAACTGTAAATTAGAATCCACTTTTAAACTTGTTCTGTATTTAATTTTCAAATATAACATGGAAGAAAGGTCCTTGTTCACATAAATAAGTTGCAAAAAAAGGCAATAAAATTTAATAGCTTTATTTGAAAGGCCTTTCAATTCTTTTTTTTCTTTTTGATTCAGACAGAAGTTAACAAGTGTGTTATTTTTGAGATCTTTAGTTAGAGATCAATCACATGAAATTACCATCAATTGTTCTTTATCTTCAGGAAATTTTTTAATTTAATTGTTAAAAATACTTTTGTTTCTTTGCAGTATTACCTATTTTTTTCTTGCGTATCACCTGTTGAGAATCCAGGCATTTGACCTTGAACAAAGCTCATATCGCAAAAATTTACGAGTGTTAGAGAAAAAATTCAATCAAGACGTTGGGGTTATTTTTGAAATCTCAACTTTCTAAAAGTGGCAAAAAGCTTAAAATAGTATTATCCAATCCTTTCATAATTAGCTTAAGTATTTTTTTTATCATTGCATTTATCTCTAATGGTAAATAAATTAACCCTTTGCCCTTGTAAATGAATTAAATTTAGAAAAATTTAATTCATTTAACTTTCCAAAAACATCAGCTAAATATCCTAAACATGCCAACCAAAATTCCCTAAATAAACAATTTTGCAATTCAAACTTTGAATCGCAGAGGAAAATTTGAATTTCTGATGGAAGTTCAAAAAGACAATTGAAAACTTTGCTTCTGGATAACCACATGACTTCGTATGTAACAAAAGCATTTCATGTTCACTGCCCATCTCTTGGCATAAAATCCTAAATATTCTCGAATTTAAAGCTTATGATGACAGAATCAGTGACTAAATTTAGTTCCAAGTGCGAGACTTTCTTTATTTGACAAATAACAACTGTAATGTTTTCCCGTTAAAGTCTGAGCTTCGCCACTGCACTTCTTTCATAGAATGTCATTCTCAGGCACAAAATTGTCAATTACTTTGAAAATTTCATCTGCAGTTGCTCTATCATGAAGAAATTCACAAAATAAATACTCTTCGGCAATTCGTTTCTTCAAAACATATGTAAACTAATAATTGAACAAAATTCATTAGATCAGTATTTTCATCCAGTTGTAATGTGAAATATTCACTGTGTTTTATTTTTTGAATGTCTCTTTTATGGAATTTGCCATTTCATGAATTTCGTAGGCTTACTAGGATAACTAGCTTCCAAAGCTTTTTCACTTGAAATAACAAAATATTTCATTACTTGTTTACTAATTTGAACTCTGATAATTTCCTCTTAAAATATTCATCAGATTTATCCATTAAACTGGCATACTTAGATTAGATAATAAGTTCACTGCAAACAACGCATGGTTGAGGGTCCATTTCATCTCTACATCAAGTAAACCCATATTATAAATTATTTCCATTATATTTTCTATAAACAATTTTTCTTTTTTAAAAAATATTCTTAGTGCTAGTAGATTGTCCTGGATGACCATCTATGAATAATGAAGTTTCCGCTTACTGATTCATAGCCTTTTTCTATTTTGAAAATAGAGGCTTGTTTTTTTAGTTTTTTCACAAATATTTAAATGCACAATACATAACAAGTTAAAAAAAAAAAAAAAAAAAAAAAGGAATCACATAGAAGAGTAAGGAATACAAAGCAACAAGAAGACAAAATACCTGTTGTTACAGACAGCATATACACCTAAAAAATTATTCCAATTGAAAATAGAGCAATATGAGCATGGAAATGATGTTGACATTAAGTGTAGATCAACTCTAAAAGAATTAATTATCTCTTTATAAGAACTTATTTTTATTTTCTGTTAAATACAACATTCATTTCTATTAATCCTTAAAAAAAATTATTCATGATAAATTTTTATTATGTCTATGGTTGAAAGAATATTTGTGAAAATAAAAAAAACGGATTATTTTGCTAAAGTTTATGAGTGGCTATTGACCTTGAACAAAGCTCAGATTGTATACATTTACTAGTGTTAGAGAAAAAATTTAAACAAGATGCTGGGGCATTTAATTTTTGAATTTAATAACTAAAAATACCTTGTTTCTTTGTGGACCACCCACTTTTCTCTTGCGTACCACTAGTTGAGAATCACTGTGTTAGATCATTTACATATTATATGCAAGTATGATTAGCATATTCGTTAAGTCTTTAGGTGAATTATAATTAGATGTGCATATTTTATTCATTATAAAACTTTAAAAGATTAATGAAATGCACAGGATAATTATTTTCACATTTGCTGAAAATAAATATATCTGCTAAAAACTGAGCATATCACAGTTTCAAAATGAAATCAATATACTTACAATCAACATAGTTTGGATGCTCTCTTAAAATGTTTTTATAAAGACGCTCTGCTTTATCAAACATACTGAATGATTCATATAGCCTTGCCAAATTATATGTTGTAGTCACAGAAATTGATCCATAATAATGTTCATCATGTTCAGCATCATTATGAGAACGTTCTAACGATGCTTCATAAAATTTCTAAAATTAAAATATATATATACAAACATTTATGTAAAAAAAGCAAAATATGTATCTGAAATGAACAATACTTTTCCAAACATAACTCACTTTGGCATCTTGCAAATTTCCAAGCCTATAATGGAGAGCAGCAACATTATTCAAAATTTCTGGAGGAACATCTGCTTCCACTTTGTCTTTCAGTATTTCTGTTGCTGTTCCATATGCTGATAAAGCTCCCTGAATATCGGACTGTTCTAAAATTTGAGCCAACTCAATCCATGCTTCAATATCATCTGCAAATTGCTCCGTAACTTTCTTCAAATGAGCCTTTTCCAAATAAATGCAGATTTAAAAATAAGAAAATATGAAAATAGATATAACACAATTGTATAAATATTTAATACAGGGTTAGTAGCCACATTTTAGTTACAAAAATAAGCACCTGTCTAATTAAATTATACACAACTGTATAACCTTAAAAGAAAAATTAGACTTGTAATTTAAAATATGAGAAATTCAGTATTTATTAAGAGAGAATGAGCATTAATCAACCATGGAAAACAATTACTTTTTTTTTAAATAACAGTTCACTTTACAGAACTAGTTTACAATGAGAGGAAAAAAAAATATGCAGAACAAAACTATATTACAAGACTTAATCATAAAATTTCAGTACAAAATAGAGGAAATAAATAATAATAAGCTATATTTATTATATTCGCTTGGCATCTAAAAATAAATATAACTTATTTTCCACTCATATTAATATTTAAATAATTTAACTTAAATCAAAATTCTGAACATTTTCTAAATTTGCATTGCATAACAGTTTTCCCTTAACAGATATTGCAAGCAAAGTAATTTAAGTAAAAATAAATAAAAAGAGGAACATTTCTGAAATCAGAAAACGGGAGATTGCTTTATGCAGTCATCCTTTAACAGTAAAAGCTTAACTAACCAGCATACTCGGAAATTGCTGAATATCTGAAAATTACTTATGTTAAAACACACCCATTTTTGAAGTTTATCTATACTTCAGCAGTTACTGCAAATAAATTATTATTGTTGGGTAGAGGCGAGCAAATGTTTTTTCTTATGCGCATGCGTATTAATTATGATGGCGCAGCTGTCTCTTCAACCGACACATCCGTCATTCGAGCTTCGAGCGTATGGAGATGGTGAGATGCTATTTGCTGTTTGATGGTCAGTATGATTTCCTGTGTGATCTTTTTATTCATTATTCATGTAAATAAAGTGTGTTGTCCTACAATGGCTTCTTTACTCTAAATATTGGCCTCTGAACAACAAATGGTAGCAGTTCCGTGGTTTTGTCAAGAAAAATTGGATATAAAATACCAAGTCGAAACCTAAACTGTCTTAGTGGAAGCCGAAAATGGAGAAGTGGAACGTTCCCGAATTAACTGGACAGAATTATTTTATTTGGGCATTGAAAATTAAAGCTGCCTTATTTATCATTGAAAAGACTTGACTCGGTAATTTCGACAGTAAAACCAGAAAACTTAGACGAGAAAGATGAAAGATTGTGGAATGAGAAAAACACTGACGCCGTAGCACATATAAAACTTTCACTATCGGATCAACAGGCGCTTCAGTTCTCCGCAGAAGAGAATGCAAAAATTCTTTGGGAAAAAATAAAGTCAGCATTTACGGGACAAGCTGAAGATCGAAAAATAGATGCTAGTAACGAGTTAAAAAATTTAGAAATGAAGTTGCATGAGTCGGCTAATGATTATATCGCAAGAGGGAGAGGAATAGCAACTAAGTTGCCATAGCAACTCTCGCTAGGCCTAGATGTATCTCCTTGGGAACTGGTGTTTTACACAGTCCGTGGACTTCGTGGAAAATTTTCTCGAATTAGGGAAATTGTAAAAATTCAGCGTGAAAAAACAATTGATGAAGTACTCGAAATACTCCGTGAGGAAGAGTCCATTCACAATTCAACGAATGGGAAACAACCTGATGAAAACAACGCAGAGGCTTTCATATCAAGAAGGAATAAAAACTATAAGCCAATAATTTGTTACATTTGCCGACGGCCTGGTCACATTGCGAAGGACTGCTATTACAGAAACAAGAATCCAAAAAAGTGCATTATCCAAAGGTAACAAGGAAAGAAAACCTACGAGTGTGAACGTTTCATCTTGTTCTGATGAAAGAGAAAATGATTTTGCTCTTCAACTTACGCGTGGAAAAAATGATGAATGTGATAAAATTTGGTTGCTGGATAGTGGTGCAACTGGACACATAGCAAAAGACTTCTTTTGGTTTCAGAATATTACACCAGAGGAAATTTACCAGGCAGGTAAACATTCAAAAAATATATTCAGAAGGTATTGGTACTGTTAAAGCAAAAACTATAAATACAAAGAATTCTAGTTTTATTAATTTAAATATTAGTAATGTTAGTTATATTCCTGATTTAAGAAATAATTTATTGTCACTCACTGCCTTAATGGATAAAGGATGTAAAATTGAATCAAGGAATAATTCTGTGTTAGTTTTTAGTAGGTGTAATGAATTACTTTTTAAAGCATTTAAGAATAATGGTAGGCTTGAAGTTAATTTAGAACCATATTATAATTCTGAATCTTGCATTGCTAATGGTTGTACTGGTAATAATTATGAACTTTGACATAGTAGACTGTGCCATTTAAATCCAAAATATATGCTTAAAATGAAAGAATACATTGATATTAATGATGTAAGTGATTTTAAGTGTGAAACTTGTGACATAAGTAAAATAACTAGAAAAAGTCATCCAAATATTGACATTAATCAGAGTTCAGAAATTTTAGAATTAATTCATTCGGATCTATGTGGCCCTGTTCAAACTGAATCAATTGGTGGGTCTAAATATATTATGATCTTATTGGATGATTTTTCTGGAATGTATTTTACTTATTTTCTTAAAAGTAAAAGTGAAGTATTTGACGCATTTTGTAAATTTAAAGCTAAGTATGAAAATTTAACTGGTAAAAGAATTAAACGTTTGAGAACAGACAATGGTTTAGAATTTGTAAATCAACAATTAGATAATTATCTTGCTAATTCAGGTATTTTTCATGAAAAAACAATTCCATATAGCAGTGAGAGTAATGGGAAAGCTGAACGGGCAAACAGAGTTCTTTTAGAAAGAGCTAGGACATTACTACATGAGAGTGAGCTCCTGGTAAAATTCTGGGCAGAAGCAATTAATTTTAGTACTCAAGTATCAAATCTAACACCCCGGAAAGGAAAAGAAAAAATTCCTTTAGAAATTTGGACTGGTAAAAAACCCAAATTAAACTATCTAAAAAAGTTTGGATGTGTGGCATACTTTCACATTCCGAAAGTAATGCGAAACAAATTTGACATACCAGGGAAAAAGAGGGATAATGTTAGGATATGCTAGAGAAAGAAAAGGATATCGTATTTATGATATAGCAAGTAATAAAATAATTGAAGAACAATCAGTTAAATTTAACGAATCTTTAAAGGGTAGTAATTATATGGGGAAAAATAAAACCTTAGAAACTTGGGATATTGAAGAATTAAAAGGAAAGGGAAACGAAGTAGATAAAAAACCACACCTCGAATTGGTTGTTACGGAAAATACTCAAGGAAGCGAATATGATGACTCATCGAATTCCGACATGAGCCGTTGTAGCGGGGGTGATGACAAGGGGAATAAAGTCCAAACATCTGATTGCTATGAAAAAAGTAATAAATATGAAAAAAAAAATACTATTAAGATGATTTGAGAGGCTCAAATCGAAACAACTAGCATCAAGTATAATCAGTAATGTTCCGAATGATTTTTTAGAAGCAAAACAAAGTGCTAATTGGTATGACTGGAAATCCGCAATGGAAAATGAATTAGATTCACTACATAAACACGAAGTGTGGGAAATAGTAGAGAGGCCTGAAAAAACAAAATTAGTAAAAAGTAAGTGGGTGTATACTTTGAAGCAAGCAGACTCTGGGGAAGTAAAATGTAAAGCGCGATTAGTAGCGGCTGGGTTTAATCAAATAAAAAATAAGGATTATACTGAATCATATTCACCAGTAGTTAATATTGAATGTTTTAGATTATTGCTTGCACTTTCAGCTAAATTAAACTTGACTGTTAAATTTTACGATGTAAAAACAGCGTACTTGTACAGTGACTTAAAGGAGGATGTGTATAAGACTCCTCCACCTGGTTATGAAAAACTGATTGGAGAAGGAAAAGTATGTAAATTGAAGAAAAGTATTTATGGGTTGCCTCAATCGGGTAGAAATTGGTATATGAAAATAAAAACAGAATTAGAAAAACTTGGACTGGTACAGTTAGCATCTGATAATTGTATATTCATTTATAATGATACCAAAAACATTTTTATATTGTGTTTGTATGTTTGATGATTTAGCTGTATTCTGTAATAATAAAGAAATGCTTGAAAATACTGTTTCTAAAATTAAAAATGTATTTGAGTTACATGAAAATACTAATTCAAAATTTTTGGGAATGCAAATAGAAAAACTTGAAAATGGTATATGTTTGTCTCAAACAGAATATATTGAATCTTATTGACTAAACACAATCTGGGAAAATTGTAAAGCAGTAAAAACGCCAATCGTTAAAGGGGCAGAAAAAGGTTTTTCATGTACAAATGAAAAAATTGATGCAATTTTGTATCGGGAATTAATTGGGGAACTTTTATATTTAGCGAATAGAACGCGTCCTGATATATCATTTGTACCAACTTATTTGTCACAATTTAATCATGTACCAGAAAAAAGGTATTATCTTTTGGCTAAAAGGATATTAAGGTATTTAAGAGGTACAAAAAATAAAAAAACTTTTCTATAGCAATGATTTTGGAGTTTTAAATGCATATGCTGATGCTAGCTGGGGAAAATGCAGAAAATGGTAAGTCATTTTCTGGTGGTACTATTTTACTAGGTGATTCATTGATTTCTTGGGAATGTCGTAAGCAGAGAAGTGTTAGTCTGTCTACTTTGTGAAGCAGAATTATTTTCTATTTCTGAAATTTGTAAGGATATTATTTTGATGGACCGTAAATTTATTATCAGAATTAAAATGTAAACAATTTTTAAATGGTGCAGTGGCTTTGAATACAGACAGTCAAGCAGCTAGTTCAAGCTACAATCAAGCAGCTATTGTCAAGCAGCAGGATCTATTGCTGCTTGCTGAGCAGTTGATCCAGTGGATCAACTGTGCCAGATCTTCTACGAAATCCAGACACATGAACTTATGTTTCCATTTTATGAAGGACTTAACAAAGGACAAAGTCATTAAGTTGGAATATTCACAAACTGATAATATGATTGCAGATTTTCTTACTAAGAGTGTCAGTGAAGAAAAATTAATGTATACATTGAAAAATAATTTCCTTAATTTCTTAATGTAATGTGTTATATATTGTTTGTATTTCATTTTTGTATTGAAAAAATGTTGCTCGCAGGAGGGGTGTGTTGGGTAAAGGCGAGCGAACGTTTTTTTCTTATGCGCATGCGTATTAATTATGATGGCGCAGCTGTCTCTTCTACCGACACATCCGTCATTCAAGCTTCGAGCGTATGGAGATGATGAGATGCTATTTGCTGTGTGATGGTCAGTATGATTTCCTGTGTGATCTTTTTATTCATTATTCATGTAAATAAAGTGTGTTGTCCTACAATGGCTTCTTTACTCTAAATATTGGCCTCTTAACAACAATTATAAATATTCATACATATGCTCATAAGCATAATGATCATAATAAACACGAATACGAACTGACAACGTGGAACGAGAATGCAAATTATTAAAATCTTCATAGAAATTAAAACGTGTGTAGTCTTGGATGAAAGGAAAAGAATACGAAATGTACTGGAATTTTCTACTGCTTTCGCAATTTTTTTACCAATAGAACGACGTGCACCTGTTTGTACTTGCATGCACCAAAGGTTGCGCTAATGCAGAGAAAGGGGCGAAAAGCTATTTCCAGAAGTATGATTCACCATCTGATGTTCCAGATAAGGAAGAGAAGTTGTTTTAGTTTCGGCTTTTGTACGGAGGGAAAAAATGCATGTTCGGGAAAAAAAAAAAAAAAAAACCAACACTAAAAGCAAAAAACAAAACAAACAAAAAAACAAAGGGGTTTAGAGAAAAAGTAAGCACCTATAAGTGCCTTTATATTTTACTTTCAAATATAAGGACTTACAAGCACTTGTAAGAAGCACTACAAACCCTGTAATAACAGTATAATTTAAGACAAGCTCAAAAAGAAATTCCAGTTAATAAAAGAGAACTTACACACTGAATCTGTATTTTGGCATCAAATAATTTTAAATCAGAAAACGGTACTTCCACAGCTAAAAGTACAAATCTAGTGTAGCTGTGCACGTTAGCTAAAAATGTGAACCATGATGGACATAACAGTTTTTCAAAAACAAAGAACATAAGCCATTAAAAATGCATAGAAATACAATAGTCAGTTCTCACAGGATAACCAATTAAAAAGACATGATCATTGTACATTCAGAATATTGCAAATACAGAAAAACTCTTAAATGTCTTACAAAATTTGCTATTATTAGCAGTCTGTATATAAGATGACCTCCATAATTTAGAAAATGTTCATAAAATTTTCCATTTACACTCAGAAATATACAGTAGCTATATTAATTCCATATAAGTAGAGTTGCTATTAATTTTAATGCAAAAATCAATGCTATTAGAAGTATGATTAGAACCAAGAATTTCAGTCAAATCGATCATCCTACAATCTTTTGCTACTCTCATTTACATGCATTTCCTGTGTTACTTTTCAATATGTTACACGCTACTAAATGAAAAAAAGATGAATATTAGCAAAACGTTATGCAGAGGACACAGCTGGATTTTCCTGAAAATCCAGCATGTTAATAATTCAAATGCGTTTTTCTTAAAATAATTTTGCAAGTATGAGTTTTTTTTATGTGCTGGCAATAAGTACGGCAGCTATCAAAGATTAAAAAAAATAAAGATGCATAGCTTTTCTATTTTTTTTTTTTTTTCTTCGTAAACACAAAGGAGGGGAAAGGTAATAAAATATGTTAAATTAATGTACATGAACTTCATTATGAATTTTAAAGTTGATATAATGGGAAGTACATAATTAGGCATCAAAATTTGCATGAAATGTGAAGCTCTTGGTTTCAAGGAAGAGTTACACCTTAATATAACAACACAATAAAAGCTATAATTTGATATATAACACAGTAGCATGTTACACCACAAAGCTTCAAGTATTTGAGGAAGCTGAATCATAATTTACTGAAAATACTCATCTACAAAATATATAACATACCTTAGCTTGATCTCTCTTTGACTGACTTGGACTATGTGCATATAAAGATCCCAAAATTTTCATTGTCTCATAATTACCAGGCTGTGCTTTAAGGACTTTTTCAAAACACTGAGCTGCCTTTAACCATAAAGGGAAAAAAAAAATTTTTTTAAATGTCTGAACAAACTTGTGACTGATTAGCATGAAACAGATAATATTCATTTTAGCCTTTCTCAAAACACCACCAAAATATTAAACTGTACAAATACTATGGTATTTCCTCTGCTTTTTTTTTTTTTTTTTTTTTTTTTTTAACTAATGTTATATGCTATTCAGTGCTACTACCCAGGCCTGATAACATTCAGTGTTGCAGGAACTGCTGTCTGTGTCATCTGTTATAGCCTGTACATCATTGTCATCCTCATCAACATCTTTTGATCTGTTTCCCCACATCTTCAGAACCACCTTTTAGGCATTGCATATTTCCATTTTCATGTAGTTCTTTACTATTACTGCTTCATGAGTTACAGCCCATGTGCCCAAAATCCTTGAGCAACTCAATTCATATGTCAAAAACAATCATTACATGGTCAAATCTATTTTAAAATTTATAGGAGGCCACTTTCTGAATGCCTTAAGAAAGGCTAAAATGAAATGAACATTTAAAAAAGCTTCAGAGCCTTGTGCTAAAAAGCTTGGAGGGCAGATAAATGAGCAAATATGGTATTTCTTAAAATATTTTGAAGAAAGTTAATTATTTTACAAGAAAAAAGTATGTATCTTTTCTATTATAAAATAAGACATGCCAAACAATTTTCTATCAAAAAATATTTACACCAAGGTACAAATTTTAGTCATACTTCAATTTAAAATAATTTATGCAGAGATAACAGAATAAAGACAGCCCCATTTGAATATTGTTGTCTACTGGTCACCTCTGAATCAAATATGTTATGCTGTTCTAATGCAGAAAAGATTCCAGATCTAAAATAGATTGTGGCAATTAACTGAAGCATCAGTTTAGTGTGTTAGCATGCAACTGAATGCAAGTCTGACTTTGGCAAGTGATGTCAGTTCTTTGATTCGGCAGAAGATATTTCCAACAGCCAGTGCCAGCAGCAATTTTTCATTCACACACCCATGCCTAACTTGCTATATTTTCAAACTGATTTATACTTTCAAATTGTAAAAGCAATGCATAACAAGCCTAAAACATATTCAAATCAAATAATTTCCTAAACTAAAATTCTATTAGAATTTAGACATATTATTTAAAACATATATAACATTTACGGAACATATGGATAGGCTATGAATAGGGCACCAATTTTTTGATAATAGCTATTTATGATTAATTATACTGTTCTCTTTGAATAACCTCCAACCTTGAAATCTGAAAAGCCAGGTGGTTTAGAAGCTACATGGTAACAAGATTTTAAGAGAATGCCAAACTGATTTAATGTATGATTTAATTCAGCATTCTTTTGGAATCTTGTCTTATCTGCAAAAGAATTTGACAGTTTATATTCTTGAATTGTCCATTATATGCACACACTTTTCAAACAAAAAATAAACAGTATTTACTTAAAATAATTTACCTATTTATATATAAGATGCAAATAACAATTTTAATATATACAACGGACAATTTTATTAATGGAATAATAATAAAAAAAATGAAATATGTAGTCAAATCAGCTAAATGAAATGTTTTAAAAAATCCTCTGAACTCACATAAAAGGTATAAGACTTACATTTTCCATATCACCACGATGTATATACATTTGTCCTAGTCCATATTGAGGTAAGACAAAATTCGCTGAAGCAAACTGTGTTGCTTGGTAATAATACTGAAATGCTTGATCATAATCATTTTGAATATGAAATGCCCTTGCCAACTGATAACAGCTTTCTGCTCTCATAGCTTCATTTTCAGTATTGTGAAAAGCATGAAGAGCTAAATGTTGAACTTTGTTGTAATCCTGTAAAAATTAATTTAAACATGTTATAACTGTTACCTTTTCCCTATAATAAGTAATTCAGACACAACACATATGAAAATACGGTTAATTATAAATTAAATATAAAATATTAACCAACTACTAGCAAATGCTAATTAATAAAAATTTAATCTTCATTTCTGTAATACAAAAGATATACTACATATGCAATAATTCTGCAGATGATCACTATTAATTGTAATAAACTTAGGATGCATATGAGAGAATTTCACCAATTACTTTTGGTACTGTTCTGTTATCGGGACTGGAGTCATCGCCAAATGTTTTGCCAAAAGATTTTTTTATATGAAGTTGTCAATGTTCATTTTTAAAATCGATACAATGTTTACTTTTTTTAAAAAAAAGCAAAAGAATACCTTTCTAAAATTGGCAACGAGAATAAAAATTCTAAAGATGTCACTATCACTAGCGTTTTTATTGTTATTGTACTTACCATCAATATGAAAATTTGGGACTTACCTTACGATGTAACATCTTTCACGCAATTTCTTCAGGAACAAGGAATTATTCACTCTGAAAGAAAGCGCACAAAAAACCATACAATGAAGCTCTACTTGAATTCAAAGGAAGCACTGAAATGGAGATGTTAAATTATGACAAGTAGGGTTCGAAAAAGAGGTTAAATTCTCAAAATTGGTCTGAAAGATTGAGAACCAATTTCCTAATGGCAGTTTATTTCATGGTGTTTAGAATTAACTTCTACTGAATTTTGTCAGTATCAAATGGATATGAATCACTGCACTGTTGTTGACTAGAACAGTTACATAAGGGAAGTCCATTACCATGCATTAATGTCTACACTTAAAATAGGCGGCACTGATTATTGAAATTGATGCAAGTCTGTGTTTGTGTCAAAAAAACTACATTGGTCTTTATCCGATGGGTGTGTGGTAGGATTTGCTGAGATACAAAAGAATGTTTTTTAGTTGCTGTGCCTAACTGCTCTGCCACAACTTTGCTTAAAGTTATTGAAGAAAATATTATTGATGTAGCTATAATACTCAGATTATAGGAAAGGGTATAACACTAAAGAATAAAAAGAGGCTGGATGTGAATATTTTCTAAGTTAAACCATAAATATAATTTTATCCCCCCCCAATACTGTCATATGTGAACTACTGAAAGGTTATCGGGCAGTGCGAAATGGCTAAATAACCTTCAACATGGCAGTGACCATAACCAATTAGATTCTTAATTAATTGAGTTTATGTTGCATAGGAGGATTCTAAAATGCAAATGTTTTTAGACATTTGTAATGACAACCGCAGTTTCATGCGTTCATGTTAATCTTAATTTGCAAACCAATTTTTTTTTATTATTATTTCTTTGGCAAGTTCCTTAGTTTATATTAAAAACTTTACCCCGATGGGTATTTGGTTATGAATACTTGAATATGAACTATGAACTTAATGAATACTTGTTAAACTATTTTTCCCTTCAATTTAACCATATTGTAACTATTTTGGTATTATTTTTGTGCTTTGAATTTTTCCCCACATGATCAGTTTTGGGCAACATTTGAATCCAGTGCTGATAACAGAACAGTAACTTATTTTTCAGTCATGACTGAGATGATTATATATGTTGTGGTTGGCATACAGTTCAAACACATAGTACAAAACTTGTAGGTGCTGCTGTTGATTTATACACATAATGTTATTTTTGAAATAGAGCAAACCTTGATACACATAAACTGATTTTACGCAACATCATTTATGGTTGTATGATGCACTCCACAATTTTATATACTTTAAATTTTCAGGACAATGGACAAGAGTGAGATGACACTAAAATATTTAAGCAGCAGAAAGTGGAGTAGAAAAAAGTGAGCACATCAAAAGTTTTGATTCCCTCCCCCCAAAAAAATTATATTTTACTTGTTTTGCTATTGCTTTTTCCTAAAAAAGCCTTTTCTATCACTACGTCTTTTCCTCTTTAAAGGGGAGAGTACATAAGATATAAAATGTTGCAAAATGCCCGCTATAGTAAGATAGCTTCTCTGCAAAGTATAAACCCACTTGGGTGCCAGAAAAAGGAAAGGTGGGGTTTTGCATGAATATAATCAGAGATACACTGGATTTTTTCATGAGGCACATATATAAAAAATTTACTCCAAAAGTAACTGAAAGTGTGCTCCCACAGCATACTGAGATGTTTTACACAAACCAGGCAAACACAAACAGACAATGAAACAGATCACAATAAGATGACACTGTGCATTTATTTTAAAGTAAAGGATATTCAACATGACCCCCAGCACAAGGTACTAAGCAAGTAAGGTGTGTTACTATGCTTCTTACAGCCAAGTGTAGCATGTTGGCATCTATTGAATGATATGGCATCTATTGAATGATTGGTCCATTGAATGATATCTTTCAGTTTCACGAAAGTGGCAAGAAACCTCTGGTATATACAAAACATTAAGTATCCTGAGAATAAAAAATCTGCCAGGGTCAAGTCTGGTGATCACGATGGTCACTTATAACCTCGACATACGATTTGGTCTTCAGTAAATGTTTCCAACAGGAAAATATTGACTGTATGTGCAACATGCGGTGAGGCACCATCATGCATAAAGGTGAAGACAGGTAATGTATGTCTTTCCTGCAATGCAGGCTCAATGTGTTCATGCAAACATGAAACATAATGTTCTGCAGTGGCTGTACAGATTTTCTAGCTGGATACAGGACAAGGCTCTTCAAAAAAGAAAGAGCTGAGAATGAAAGATGTGGTGAAACTGCAGCAAATAGTCACATGATGAGAATGCAGTGGCTTGGTCAGATAGTCACAAGGGTTTGATGTCATCTAGATGTAACTGTTTTGCATACTGACATCACCATGCAGCGAAAAGTAGTCTCCATCCGTCCACATTGTGTTTAGCAACCACTGTAGTCACGCTTTATTTGTGCCAGCACACAGGTAACAAAGTTTGGTAACTTTACATGGATATAGATTCAAGATTGTCAAATTGACGATTCTGGAATCCCCAATACTCTTCTAGCTTCACGAGCACTGCTACTCTCTGCTGATGTTTTGGCTGCTAATTATTTCATGCCACTTTGTACAACATGGACATGATCTGCATTTAAAGATGGCCTGGCAAACAATCCTCCAAACTCCATGTTTCTTCAAGATGCCACACTAAATTCAGCATTACAGAGCTTATTTTGTGCTTTCAGTCTTTTTTCCATGCGAAACTTTCACAATGCAATACTTGAGGATTCATCATTCTTGTAGAACAGTTTAACTACCAACACTCAATGTGGTAATGATAGCATGCTGCCGGCATCGAATGATGAATCCATTTTGAGCCAGAGATTTTAATGTTGATAGCCTGATTCTACCCTGATTTGCATAAAACGTCTCAGCATAACATGTGAGTGCCCTCTTTTGGTTACTTTTAGAATTTTTTTTAATAAACAGAAAAAAATCCAATGTCCTTCTCAACATATTCACACAGACCCCAATATTTCTTTTTTTTTTTTTTTCCGGGGGGGGGGGGGGGGGTTACGAGCATTACTTTTTTTTTCATGAATTTTTTAAATATGCACTAATTTATGACACACCCTGTATGCGTGTTTAATACAGTATACATGCACACACACACACACACACATATATATTTAATAAACAAATTGAGTTTTCCATTATCAACAGCCTGAGTGGCATAATTGCCTTTATTCCCTTACGAGATTTTTTGCCATTTGATTTAAAATATTTTGTTTTCCTTACTTTCATTTATGATTTAAATATCAGCTTAACAAATAGAAGTTTATAAAAAAAAAACAGAGTAAAATAAGTAATTATATAAAACTTAGTGAATAAATGATGTATAAATACAGTTCTTCACAAGCAGGTCCAAAATGCCAAGCACTCACAGGATTAATTGGGGGGGGGGGAAGGTGCTTTTCCGTTTTGCCAGCACAATCAATAAAGTCGCCAATAATGGTACAACTGATGCCAAACGGAATATCCTCGCAGGTAACCTTTTACGCCTCATTTTCAAAACAAGTCGCAGCCATTTCTTAACAGATTGATTGTTTCTTTCAATACTGGCATACAATTACATAGAACTTTTATCAGATAGTACAATTTTATGCCCTAAGGCCATTTGCGGTAATCAAGTCAATTAGGATGCAATCACACCGCTCACCCGAAGATGAAAATATGGGAAAGGCATATTAAGGGTTAAATTCATCAATTCTAATGACAATGCACTAGCGAAGTAAAGCACTGTGGTTTTACATAGTTTCTGAGTAAGCTATTCGTACAAATTGAAATAATTCTTGTATTTAAACTTGTTTTCCAAACTCATTTAACTTGAAATTAATATAGATAGTTATTGAGAGAATTAGATTTTGGGAGCATAGTTTACGTGAGATGAGATTACTTAGGGTCACACGATATGAACCGGCGAATCAGGATGTTGAACCATGAAAGGCATTGTCAATTCTTAAATTAATGTCTTTTTACAAATTTATTGTCTTTATTTATGAGCTTTTACAAAATTTTAAACCCTATTAAAATGTTATTATGCCTTCAAAATAAAAAATTATTAGAACCAACATCTGTTAACATTTTTTATGTGTATACTGTATGTTGTTGCCAATAAAGTCTGCTTGGCAAAATTTGCGCCGGCGAAACAGAAAAGTACCAAAAAATACTATATAGTATACTTACATATATATAATTAATTTCTCAAAATTATACAAAACATATGTTGCTCAAAGAATGCCTTTTTTTTTTTGTGTGTGTGTGTTCATTTTAAGTATCAAAGCATCTCAGAATACCTAAACAGACCAAACAGTGTGATGTAACTGGATGTTTCTTAAAATGAGAAATCTGAACATAATTTATGAAAATCACAATGCATCTATTGTATATATTTTTATGTTGCCAATCACTGAACTTTTGCAATCATATACACTGTTATTAATACACATTGTTAAATGTTCAAATACACATAATTTGAAAACCATAGACTAACCTTTTTGAAAAAGAAGTGATTAGCTAAGTGATTTAAAACCATGGGATTTGAAGAATCAATTGTGTATGCTTTAGACAACATCTGAACTCCCTTCCTAATGGTTTCTGGTGTTTTGTTATTCAATTCCAGAATTGCTAGGCCCACAAGTGCTCCTACACACTGAGAATCAAGATTTAAAGCTCTTTCAAATGCAAGCCTGAAAACATAAATAGGATTAAAAGAATTCTTCATTGTAATAATAATAATAATATAAAAAAACACTACCTGTACAAGGTGTCCTAAAAAGACTGATATACTGTAGAAGATTAATTAATAGGAAACATCTAAATAAATGCGCATATGATCCAAATAATTGGAAAAGGAAAATGATAACGTTACTTTGGAGAAGGGAAAGTAATGAAATTATTATTGAACTACTGACTATAAAAAATAGTTTAACTAATCAGACCTGTTTTATTTATTATGTAAAATATATATATATATATGCTTTTCAGATCTCATTCCAAGTAGCTTCTTTCCATGGGATTATAGAAGGATATGCTTGTTCGATTAAGTTAAACACCATATCAGCCACAGAGATGACTGACAAAAAATTGAAATAGATTGGCTCGCAGATGGTTGTCTTTTGCATAGCAACTGATTTTAATATCTGATTAATGCAAACATTTTAATAAATGTAAAAATCAATTTTTTTTTTTTTTTTTTTTTTTTACTATACATTGTTTGCCCCTTCCCCAAAAAAGCTGCAATGTAAATTTGAATTTGAAAATATTGAGGAAGAATTGGTTGCTCAATTTAATTATATCAACACAAACTTGAAATAACAGTAACTCAGAGTGGATCTGATCATTTCAAAGCTGTCATACCTGAAGAACTTCCATCAGGTCATGGAAAAGAAATTACAGAGCTAAAAAAGTATCACATTATTAATCTGCATCAAGAGTAAAAAATCTGAAAGACTGTAGATGAAATTACTAACATGGAATAGCGAACTGTTATCCAAAATGGCGATGAACTATTATTATCTTTACAAAAGACATGGGGCTGAAAATAAACCCTAAACAATAACCTTTTTGTGTTAAATAAATGCAAGTGAACATCTCTGAAATATTTAATAAAAACAATTCACAAAAATTCCGATCTAAAACATATACTGAAGTTTAATATAGGAAGCAAAAGATAACTTGTCAGATGCTTTTAAAATGCTCTGTTGCAATAAAAAAGATACTACAAAGGTTATTCAGAAAGTAACTTACGTTTCTTCTGATGATCTTTCTTCTGAGAGATGGTGCTAGCATCTCCAACTTGATGTCAGAGTGTTTACTGAATCTTTACAAATTTGGATGTAATCGCTGGCGGTAAGTGTTGCCTCTGCTTTGTTCACTGTGAATGTTTAAAATGTGTGTGGAAATAGAAAATTCCACCAGTAGTGAAGTGCGATCAGAGATTAGATTTTTGTTCACAAAAAAAAAAAAAAAAAAAAAAAAAAAAAAAAAAAAAAACGAGACCAGTTGAAAATTATCTGGAACTATGCACCATGTACAGAAATGGCCTAATGAGTGAAGCTGGAGTGAGACAATGGTGCATCATGTTTAAAAATGGTTGCACTAATATTCACGAGAACGCGCAATGTGGCTGGCCGAGCATTGCTAAAGCTGAACTGGTAAAGAAAATCCACAGAAACTTTTAAGAAAATCGCCGCTTCACAATTTCTGAGCTCTCACTAGAGTTTTGTCAAATTTCACGAACTTTATTGTTTGGTGTTGTGATGCAAGATCTAGGCAATCACAAGTTTTGTGTTAAACGGGTTCGAAACTTGTCAGGTAACCACAAAAAGCAGCACGTGGCAGCAGCATTGACATTTCTTGAGTTATACCGAGAACATGGTGAATCACTTCTTGATTGTGTCATAACAGAAGACAAGACTTGGGTTAAAGTTCGTGAATTGTGAGACAAAACAACAGTCTCGGGTTAAAGTTCGTGAATTGTAAGACAAAACAACAGTCTATGGAGTGCACTCAAACGAATTCTCCCAGAAAACCAAGGAAATTTTTGCAAACACCGTCATCTTGAGTTTCAAGATTTTTTTTCCATGACAACACATGTTCCCCACACAGCCATTCAAACTCAATGGCTCTTGGATGGTGCTGGGTAGCGCAAACGCGCGCTTATCGGGGAGGCCGGCAGTGTCTTACGCGAGCGTCTGTCCAGAGCCAGGGGTTTTTTGCTATTAAGCCTAAATCCATGAAATTTCCGAAGTATCAACGTATTATTTAATAATGCTCTATAGAATATTTAAATGTCTTATGCTTTATAGATATTTTTATATATACTTTAATTACCTTATTTCTTGTTTAAATGCATATTTTACACATTTTATTTTAATTACTCACCATTTTATGACTTTTAACATTATACATCTGAAAACTAAATATATTACTTAAAATTCTCTTTTCGTATGAAAAATTTGAAAACACAGATCTACGCACAGTCCTACATTACATTCCTTACACTCGTAATAACTCATTTGCCGTTTTGGAGGATTTTTCCGGGAATGTGAACAAACGAAGCATCGTCGTCTCATTTTTTTATCAGTCTCTTCTTAACAAAGTTTTGGAAATTCTTTCAGTTAATCTTTCAGAATCAATATCAGAATATCAGAATTTCAGAATCAATATCTGAAATATTTTGCATCATTTCTGCTATTTCATGCTCTGTTAAACATTTTCGACGCTTCGACATTGCAATGGTAAAAATAGAAAGAATTCACATCTAACAAGATCTAATTATTTTCTAAAAACTGAACTGCAAACCGAAATACCCAACGCTTTAGTGAAAATAAAACTTCTTTACTTACAATAAACAACTACCATGTGCGAATTTAAAGAGACGTCATAAATCACGCCATTCAGAAACATTTATTTCCCCTTTTGTTTATATAATCAAAAACACGTGTATGTGAGTCATGCTTCTCTCATTTCGAGTAGAAGGTCTAATGTACATGTATCTGAAACCATATGGACATACAGTGCCATCTTGTGGCAGAAATTATAGTTTTTAAAAGGTTCCAGGATACTGGCACAAATATGTGACAGTCGGGGCTGAACAAGAAAATGCTCCCGGCCGACACGTGAGTGTGTTCGTTGCTGGCACGTAGACGTGACAGTCGGCGCGAAGGGGCTAACCCTTTAAAATCATATAATGTTCAGGATGTTAGAGTCCCAAATCCGCCTGTAAAGGAAAACACTCTTACATCACTTCTCTTTTATCTTCACCCTCATTTTTCTCTGTATTATAAAAAAAGAGTTTGTAAGTCAAGTTGAACCCAGTTCTAGAAGACTGAGGACATAATAAACATATGGTGTTAATCACCATTCAACCGAAGAACACATATGGATTCTCTGATTCCATTCAGATTCTTTATCTGAGCTGTCAGACAGAACTTTATTCAAGTCTGATATTATGATGGAAATTTTTGCTATTCCGAGAAAAAGAAAACAGTGAATCATATCAGGATTCTGGTTTACACAGTTGGTTCATTTTTTGGAGAATGAAATTTTGTACTTAGTAATTTTTTTTTGAAGTATAGTATAAATGCTTTCCAAATTATGTCCTTCAAATAAGTTTTGCATTTTTTAGGTCTTTTCCAAAACATGAAATATTCTTTATAAAAGGTCACTATATTTCTAGAATATTCTTTGTAAAGGTTAAAGTTCCTTTGCTTTATAGCCATGGATAATATTTCCTGTTATCAGCATCACACCAGCAGAAATCTGCAGATTATTTTTTCACTTGGAAGTTAAGTAAAACGTAAATTTAATATTTTTTGCTAGTGTTTTTATATTATCACTGATAAAATAATTATTCATATTTATAAATAGGTAATTTAAGAAAAGAATCAAAATTATGATAATTTATGGTTAATAATTTATCATGTAAATTTATGTGGAACTAGAAAAGAACAACCAACAAATTTAATAACTGCGTGTAATAATTATAATTAAATCTTAACACGACTTTTATAATCAGATTATTTATACACTTGCTGCAACAATGTTAATCTTTTTTTTTTTTTTTTTTTTTTTAATTTATGATTCAGATTTTACACACATTTCAGTGATTTTTCTTGTAGATACAGTGAATCAAACTTCCAGTCCCTTGATATTTGTTATAGTGGCGTTCGACACCATGTATTTCAGGATGATACGATCATGATTCATTGAGCTCATACTGTGAAAGATTTATTCCAGGAGCATGAGACATCATTTGAACCACAGATATAGCCACCCAAAAGTCCTAACTTGAATCCAATTTAAGAGTTGATGTGAGATATACTAATGAATAATTAAGGAATATTACGATTTTTTCATTCACCAAGTGTCTGACAGATTTCCTAATGCATCTCAAGTCAAAAATGAGTGGAGATTAATACATTCACTAAAACAATGCTACTATGTACACATACTGTAATTTGCATTAAATATGGTCCAACAAAATACTAATTTTTAGGGGGGGGAGGTAGCATATAAAGTGACTATTTATGTATGTGATAATAACACATAAAATAGAACACAGATAACTTTTATTTTTTTTATGAAAAATAGCTTAGGACATTCTCTGGAAATACTGTTTTAATTTATTAAAAGTTAAACTTATTAATACACAGTTTTTGTTGATTAAAATTTCAATACTAGCTTGTCTATAAACACAAGTTTAATATATATACAAAGTAGCACTCAAGTTTATATATTAAATAATTACTGCAATGCAAAAACTCAATTTAATCAGAAATTTTAAGAACCTAAAACTATAATAATGCAAAAATCTATAAATGAAAGAGAAAGAAAATAAAAAGATAAGCTTTTAGTTGTGGTAAAATACACTTGCATGGGATTATATAATTTCAATTAAATAAAGTTAACATAATCTAAACTATATACTAAGTTTTTAACTATTTGCTACAGAAGGGGAGGGGAAAAAAAAAAAAAAAAACTTCAAGAAACATTACATTAGCCTCCCCTCCAAAAAAATAATTTAAAATGTGTACTTACAGATATATATGCAAAGTTCCCTTTAAAAAAAAAAATAACTGATACAAAATTGTGCAATACCTAGCTTTATCCAGTCTCCCCATTTTATAAAAACAGTGTCCCATTCCAAGACGAACAGCAGCTGGACAATTTGGATTTGTTCTCAAGGCTTTCTTATACAGAGATAATGCCCCTCGATAATCTTTTTTATTGAAAGCTATGCATGCTTTACCCAGCAAAGAAGGAATATTATTTAATGACTAGAAGAGGAGAAAATAATTTAAAATTAATATATTTAAATATATTTCTGTAATAAAATTAATATTTTACAATAATTAATATTAGTCAAATCTTACCTGATTTAAGACAAAATTGAACTGAGCATCAGCTTGATCCATCTTATCACCTTCCAGCAAGCAGAAATATGCTCTGCCCAATAGATGGTCCTTTTAATAAAATTAATTTTTTAAACAAATTTTTATCTTTATAATTTCTAAAAAATAATATTTAGATAAAACTTACAATAGAACATAGCATTACATTTTCATTATTATAATAAAATATTCATAAAAAAATTAAAGCCTGCAGAATAAAAGATTCAATTACCAAATCATACATGATGATCTTATCAGCAGTAGTATACAGTAAAGTGGCTTTTGTGAACAATTCCCTCTTTTTTTCATGCTCCTTTTCTTTATTAGCCTGCTGTACATAATAAGCAGAGAGTTTATCCAAAGCTGCCATCTGATCTCGTTCCATGTTTGGGTAGTCAATATTCGCTTCAGTTCTTGAAACATCTAAAATCTTAACAAAGTCTTGCACTTTACCCTGACGGTAATATTCAAGCTTTAAAATAAATAAATAAATAAATAAAAAGATCACATAAAATTAAGCACAAAGAAGTAATTACAAAATCAAACATGTGCAATCAACACATGCAAAATCTAAAAATATCATAATGAAAAATACATTTGCAAATACCAAACATGTAAAATACAAATAGGATTCAATAAACATAATCCAAAATACTAACAGCCAGCTGAACCCATATATTGAGAGTAACTTGTTCCTGACGTAAAATACCCAGTACTTCATCTCCATCTGGCAGCTGATCGAGATGCAGTTCAATCACCTTAAAAACAAATATTGAAAAAACAAATAATATAAATATTATAATATGAATATATATATTACATATATAAAACAAATACAGTGACAGCATTCTTTGCTGACATACTTTCAATATAAAACACAAGATTTCAAGATGCAAGACAAATTATGTTTCACTACGTCCTTCCCAAAGATTCTTAATTATTTACAAGAAAAGAAACAAATTTGTAGCCTTCAAACTATTGCACCAAACTCAAGGGTTTTATGCAACTCCTCTAGGGGTTCTACAAGGCAAAATCAAAATATATTTATAATAGCAAACAAGCAGCAAAAATAAGTAATAAAACATGTAATTTTTTATCATTCTGATAATATTCTTACCTAAGATAGTAAATTTTCAATATGCAAAATATTTTCAGTATACTAGATATTTTTCATATTTATTTTCATTTAAATGTTTATTTCTTCTCCAGTGTTCTTATACAACAGACAAATTATTAAAATAATCTATACTTAAAAATTGCATTTTTACTATAAATCAGAGAGAAAAAATTGGAGAGTGATACAGAAAAATTGGACTGAGGGCTAAAAATTATATGCCTAAAAAGTGTATACCCTATGTAAAATTAGTAAAACAAAAATATGTTTCAGATAAATGCAAATGGCATTGCCAAGTGAAAGGGAGTGAAAATATTACCAATATTAAAAGAACTAATTCAATTACAAAAAGTTTTCATTTTTTATATGACATATATTTATGAAAACCTTGAATGAATCATCTCTCTTAATATAATAGAGAGAAAACAACAAGTAAAAATAAAAATCTATCATTTAGGTACAGCAAATCATATATTGTACAATTGCTTCCCAAGACAAGCACACAAAAATTCTTTTGAAGGGACATGAGAAACAGCAGGAAGAAATTTTGCATAACTCTTCACTATTACTCCCCTGTTATTTAAATGGTGACAAAGGCCCTCTCGTTGATTAACCATACCACATTGGCAACACCATTTGATCTTTGCAAACCATCACGAAATTGCTGCCAATTCTAACCCCAATGATTTATTGTCCACTCATAATGAAAAGAACTCTCAACAGGGCTGTTGCTTTGGCATAGTCTATTAATAACAGGAAGAAAACATTTAAACAGCATGAAAATAATAAATAAGGACATACCATATTATGAAATATATATTTGAAAAATAATGGATATTAAAAAAAATCAGGGAGAGCTTTTTGCTCCTGACACAGGACTTGTAATTGTTCCCCCTCAAAATCGATATTTCCAATTAAAATCTATGGCAAACGCAAGGTTGTTTTATCTAATTCTAAGCAAGGACGTTGACACATGAGAATTCATTGCTGATTCCAACGAAATTGCCAAGTCAGCTAATGAAACAGGATTGTATAATATAAATTTAAAGGTTATTGAAGAATTATTGCAAGTTACAACCAGGGCTGTGGAGTTGGAATCGGACAGATTTTGGGGTAAAAGGAGTCCAAGCTGGAGTCGCTAAAAACAGGTAGACTCCGACTCCAGTTTTTGTTGGACAGTTAGATTTTGAAATGAAATTGAAAAAATTAATGACAAGCTGAGTTATTATTTTTATTTATGGACTTTATACATTAAAAAAAGTTATTTTCTATTTTATTGACATAATAAATAAATATAAGGGAGGAGGATAGATGTGATATTTGCTATTAGCGATTAAACTGATTCATTTAGTTACAAATCTCACTGGTAAATTTAGGTAAGCAGCAAAAACTCCCAACAATGATGCCATTCTTAGGAGGCGAACAGGAAAAGGAGCAATTATTGATTAAGCAACGTGATAAGGAAGTACATTCTTGATGATAAAAAGGTTTTTAGAAGATGTAGATAACCCTAATGTTTCACTAACAGAAAGACTTGGAATGATCTTGCAGAACTGGAAACTTTTCTTTCTACACCATAGATAGCCACAAAAAAGCTGCAATCTGAAGAATTGACAGGAGGCGAGAATGGAATGTTTGTTCTTTCTGAAAAGAGAACATTTCTTCAATGAAGAAAAGAGAAACTAATTTGCTAGACAATGATCTCTTGCTGAGTTCAATATATGTAGATCCGAAACACAATTTTCTTGGATGACAAACAAATTAAAGGCAAAGAAAGCCATCTATGAGCTTTCATTAATAATGAAATTATTTTCAGAACAATTCGAGAATTCGAATCAGGACAGTCAAACTGAAGACATTGCAATTGAGTCTCTATCATCCTCTTCCAGCGATGAATTAGATTTTGAGAAATATTTTTGGATAATACTGAAAAGGCCAAAGCAAACCAAATGAAAAGAAAGAACCAAGAGCCTTTAGATATAAAAATGAAAAAATACACACTACACGGCCTTTGAAGAAATAAAGAAATATGATTGTGCTTGCAAGACAGCTCTTTTAGAACTTATAAAAAATCTATTCTGAAAAGTTAAAAGAAGTACCTCTAACAGTAACAGCTCTTCCTCCTACTCAAGTTAGTGTGGAAACTCTTTTCAGCCCTGAAATTTATCAAATCAGATCTATTGCCCTCCAACAAAGATCTTGCTGAAGCTCTACTGTTTCTTAGAAGTAACTAATACCAGTTTTTCCATTTCATAATAAATGCTAATTCATATAAATAATTTTTTATGCCATCAATTTTTTTTTTCTCCTGTAGCATCTATTACTTCTTTTATATTAAAAAAAATAAGCTGTAACCCATGTGTACATGTTTACACACACACACACACATATATATATATGAAGGAGTCGGTCATTTTTCCTACCAACTCCACAGCCCTGGTTACAACCGGTGAAAGTCTTTTCAATGACAATCTTAAAACATTAGTTGATTCCAAAACCAGATGAAAACTAATTTCGGACATCCTGTGCAAAATGGAAGAGAGCACCAGCAAGATGTAGTTGCAGGTGTGAAAAAAGGTAGAAGTCTGAAGGAGCGAATTCAGGGTTATATGGTGGGTGAGGCAAAAGATCCCATTTGAGTTCGTACAGAGTCCAGCCACTGACTGCAGACATATGTGGTCTTGCGTTATCTCGACGGAACATTATCTTTTCGTGCTGGAACTCAGTTCAACATTTTCCCTTGATAGCAGCATCAAAACGGACTAGCATCTCGCTGTACACCTTACTGTCGAGGGTTTTACTTTTTCCAGATACTCTTTGTGGATAATACCACAGCAATCCCACCAGATACTAAGCATGATCTTTTTGTTAGTCAAATTGCACTTTCCAACCCTGACACAACAACCCTTTTTTCAGCCTGTGTTGTTGAAGTAAATCCACTTTTCATCACAAGTGACAAACCCGTCCAGAATATTGTCCTTGCGTTGGGTATTCGACCAGATTGGTGCAGGCACGAACCCATCTGACCCTATCTACTCGAGTCAACTAATGCGGCATACAGCGATTGAACTTGCACGTCAAGTTTATGTGGTGCATAATGCGACTAATGGTTATGACACTAATTGCTAACACCTTAGCAAGCTCTCGAGTGATTGCATGTTGATCTATGAATTCTTGCAGGCCTTATCAAAATCACTAGCCAACCGGACCACTCTGCTTCTTGAATGTCATATTCCTTGTTCTCTAACTTTCGATACTAAACTTTCAGTGTCACATGGGTTAGAGTAGATTTAAGGGTGCCCCTTGGATTATCGTTAAGTTGTTGTTTCACTTATCACCAAGCTGTTTCATTTATGGTAACTGAGTAGTTGAATGCTATAGAAATTCTATTATGATGTAACTGGTTGAGTGATCGCGGTGAATTTGAATTTGAATGATGGGAAAAGATTTGGAAAGGCTTGTTTGTGTGTCGGATTTTGGATAAGAAGTATGCATGTACATATGTATGTGCATGTATACAGACGCACATAGTCACTACATCAGAGGTGTGACACATGCAAAAAGGAAAAAAAAAAAAGACTAAGTCTGTAGCTTTAAAAAAAGAGTGGAGTTGGCAATAACTGTTTTGGTGACATCATCACACACACCTCTTCTATCCATGTAGCCAGTTTCAACTTAACCAATCACACCAGTTGGGGGTACTGCGCCATTGAATGAACACGTGCAACTGCATTCTGCCAGAAAAATGTCTAATGTAAAAACTGAACAGCAAATCAACATAAAGTTTCTTGTGAAACGTAAGAAATCAGCCACGGAAACATTTCAAATGTTAACTGAGGCTTATGGAGATGAAATTTTGTCTCATGCACATGTGTTTGAAAGGCATAAGTAGTTTTCAGGGGGAAGGGGCAGTGTGGGAGATGATGCACAGGGTTCATAGCCACATTTTAGTTAAAAAAAAAGGCACCTATAAGCACTTTTCAAGCACATTTTGAGGAAAAAATAAGCACCTGTCTAATTACATTATACACAAATGCATAACCTTAAAAGAAAAATTAGACTTGTAATTTAAAATATGATGCAATATTTTATTACGAGAATGAGCATTACCTCAACAATGGAAAACAATTAACTTTTTTTTTATTTTATTTTTAAATTTTAAATGACAGTTCAATTTACAGAATTAGTTTACAATGAGAGAAAAAAAAACTATGCAGAACTAAACTATATTACAAAATTTAATGACGATATTTCAGTTGAAAATATAGAAAATAAATAATAATAAGCCATATTAATTGTATTTGTTTGGCACCTAATAATAAATACAATTTATTTTTCCACTCATATTAATATTTAAATAATTTAACTTAAATCAAAATTCTGAATATTTTCTAAATTTTCATTACATAACAGTTTTTACTTAACATATATTCCAAGCAAAGTAATTTAAGTAAAAAAGAGGCCTATTTCTGAAATCAGAAGATGGGAAATTGCTTCATGCAGTCATCCTTTAACAGTAAAAGCTTAACTAACCCGCATACTCGGAAATTAACGAATATTCCAGATAGTAACTGAAAAAAAGAGGAGTGTGGGAGATTGTAGCCGTTCTTTAGATTTAAATTTAGGCTAAATAAATGATTTTTG